TCTTCTTCCTTTTGTTTGTTCGACCAAGTGTTTGCACCATCTTCTTCACCTTCTTTTCAGACTTTGTTTTCACCATTAGTAATCGTTGCCGAATGTAGATTCTCACACTGTAGACAAAAGGGAATGCAACGGATTTTGGGTGGAGTATGGAGATTATAGAACATTTGAATTTGGAAAAGTAGTGAAGATAGGGAGCGAATAACGTTGAGAGGAGATAGTGCTTGAGAGAAAATAGGGCTTGAATAAAAATGAAAGTTGGGATATTCACAAATTTGAAACACTGAACTAATGGGATACGTGCGTCAATTAATTAAAATATTTATCATTTAATTAAAATGATAAAAACCTTAAAATTGAATAAATAAAGTCCAAACCTGATTTATAAAAACTGATCTTTATACACCTGTTTTTATGTAATTTCCTCGTGTTCAAGTGGTAGGGTTGTTTGCATGCATAAATCACATATAGTGTTGTGGCTCATTTAATTTTCACTTAATCTTAAATGGCTCAAATAAGTAACAAATGTTAAATAATGAACCTTAAAGACTATTTTAATTACTATAAATTGTTAACGTTATATATAAATCAATAAACTAATATATCTATATAATTATTTTAATTTCCAATCTCGATTCCATTTAACTTTTGACCATTCAACTTTTTTCAATAGATGGGGGGACTAATTTTTAAAACATTAATAATTACTCATGCTAGATGGAAAGTCTTGTCAAGTATACGATCATTTGTTCTATAATAATTAAACAATGGGTAAATAGCACAAAATATCCATACTTTTCAATGCCATTGTGCAAAACGTTCATATCTTTCATTTTTTGACATTTTTACCCCTACCTTCCACCTTTCATTATGCAAAATGTCCATTTCAACAATTTTTCCAATAAAATGAAGATTTTATCCTTCTATTCAAATGAAACAAAAAGAAAAGAAAAGAAAAAATAATAACTAATTGCAATCGCAGTCCTAAATTTTTCAAAATATTACAGATAAGTCATAAATTATCCACCACCACCACTACTTTCACAACCCCATCAAGCCGCCACGGCGCCACCTATAATCCACATAGCACCACCTTCTAGCCACCACACCCACCGAACTCCACCACCATTAGCCTCGCTTCACTCTCCCCAATATTCTCTTCCACAATATTGGTCACAAAATATGTCGAAAACAGCCACATTTGCAGCCTAAAATACCAAACTGACGTATATAACCCTTCATGGCAACCCCACTTTCGGTGCCACCCATAGTCGCGCACCACCACCGACGGTTACCCCTTACCTCAACGATCATATACATGGTCTCACATCAATCAAACCTACCTCAAATCATTCTACTGTAATCTAGGCATTCGATAGTGGCGACGTTCATTTTGCCAAACTCTTTTCCTTCAACTCATGCATCTTACAACACTAAATCCCCAAATTGGCATCAATCGAACCATCAACAAACCCAAATGACAATGGATATGAATCTAATTAAATCAATTATCCTCCCAACCATTTCAATTTCTAGTCCAAAACTCTCCACGGGAGTGATGCACAGAGAGAGTTGTCTGACCAAAATTGGTACCTCATAAGTGCTCCAATTTTCAAATTCGTATGGGGGAGGACGGTAGGGGAGTGAAGAGAGGTTGGTGGTCGTGGAGTCTGGTGGACGTGGTGGCCGAAATGTGGTGCTATATGAATCTATAGGTGGCAGCTTGTAGGTTGTGAAAGTGGTGGTGGTGGAGATTTTATGATTTCTTTGTAATTTTTAAAAAACTTAGGGACTATAGTTGCAGTTGGTTATTCATCTTTTTCTTTTTATTTTATTTGAATAGGAGGATAAAATCGTCTTTTATTGGAAAAAATGATAAAAAGGATTTTTTACCCGATAAAAGGTGGAAGGTAGGGGTGAAAATGCCAAAAAAATAAAAGATATTGATGTATTGCACAATGACATTGAAATGTAGGGATATTCTGTGCTATTTACCCATTAAATACCACCACTTTCATTTTTTTTTTGTTTCAATGCTGTTTAATTACACTGAAAGCCCCCAATGTTTAGTAATTGTTGCACTTATACACCTAACTGTTTTCAGCACATTCTTATCTTAAAAAAAGACACAAATGCGACAATGAGCAAAAGCTAACAACCTTTAGTACGATTGAACTGAAACGCAACAAAATAAACAAATGGCATTTTAGAGAGCCATCCAAGATCCAGAGCATAAATACGGCTCATGTACGTCTAACCCCCTCCAACAATATATTTTATTGCACGTTGACCCTTCGAACCAAAGAAATACACATTTTACACCATACTTGTCAAATCCAGCCTCACCATCAACTCTTCAGAGCATCTAAAGCACCAGATCACCGAATCTCAGGTCACACCAAGAACAATATGAATTACCTCACTACAAAAAGTTTCACTTTTAGCAACAAAAAGAAAGTGATTCGAAACCTCAATAAGCAAAAACGTACATTACAGTTCTAGAGCTACGTCTTGAACCACTCAACCATAGATCAAACTAAGAAGTAATTGACTACCAATTATTTCACTTGCAACCTTCGGAGACACCAAAATGTTCAACAGGAGTTCATAAAGATGGCAACAAGGGCGAAAAGTGGAAAATACTAGGCATTATATCGAAGACACTAATGGTAGTATTGAGTTCGAGTCTATCTCTTCATAATTAAGAAGGTGTAAACATGGAGGAGAATATGCATCGACAGCATTCTGCAAGTCACCTTCCATCAAACCAGACTTTTTGTCAAGTTCATCCCTGTCCATGGCATCCTGACAATACAAAAACTTCAATTATGTAAAGTTTAGATTCGATATACAATATAGAGCCTAATTCCTCATACAAGTTGCCTTCTCAAGCTTCCTACATCCAAGTATTTTGCAGTCTTGAGATAAAGTCAATTTTGTTGGAGACAAAATTGAAATAAACATGAAATTATGCAAGCCAGAAAGCTTCCATAACCCAAAATAATAAGAAAAGATGCAACATTACGAATTTTAACAATTTGTGATGTAATTTGAACGAAAAGGTTCTTCTAAAATTAGTGATTACCAAAAGAGCGAGCCTTTTACCTTCACTGAGCACTGATAAAATGTAGGAAGAAAACGGATCTTGCAATATTCATTGAAGAGTATTGTTAAAACTAGGAGTGGTATAGTGGAAAAAGAAGCAGCGGGCTTTGACTTCAATCCAAAAAGACCAATCGTCGAGATTTGCGTGATGATCATTGCAATGACAATGTAGTTATGAATATATGGCCAGTATTGGCCACTGGTTTCATACGAAGTTATATACACATCCTGAATCTGCATTGTGAAAAAACAAACAAAAAAAAAAAAAGAAAAATCAGTGGCATAATTGTTATTTGAAGCATCTACAATATTAACAGTGGGGAAAAGGAACAAGAATTCAAGAAAGAAGAATAATGAAGTGTAAGAATTTTATCAAAATCTTTCAGTCTGTCTAGCTTAACAAAATCGAATTTATCACACGACATTTTTCAGGAAAAATCCTAAATTTCAATGAGAATATGAGAAATGGAAAATATGCTGTCACTGGTTTTACTTGAGAAATGGAAAAAATTTACTCGACTTAATCCAACTATTCAAGGAGCATTTGAAGCGATTCCATGTCATTCAAGAAAAATGCACATGAAATTAGATTTGTGTCATTCAAGGTGTTAATCTTCTTCTGCTGCTCAATCCTTGCATTCAGTGTTGTCCATTACTCCTCAGAATTTACCATATACTTTGATTTGTGTAATAAGTTCTCACTGATAAGAATTTATTTCAACAGTTAGTCACTAAGTTAGTAATTCAGTATATTTATAAACCAAAAAAAAAAGAGCAAGAAATCAGATTACGCTCTCTCAAAGAGTGCTCGACTATTTATTCACGCCAAAAATTGCTTATATCTAGGAAGTGGCTCCAATGGTAAGGCCAAAATATATATACACTCATAGTGGACAGTTCTCAATCGCATATTCTGACATCTTCTAAATATTTTAACTACCCACATCTTTTAGTATTTAAAAGATTATATCAATGAAGGTATATAGACAAAAACTTAATCGGGGATTTGCTTGTGATGGGATTAAAAATCAGGCCAATCAACAAAAACAAAAAATACGAAGTAGTTACTGGATTGGCCTCATACAAAGGCTAACAGGAAACAAAAATAAAACCACAGGAAAAGAACATAAAATAGTTTTACCATTTCCCTTTTCTCTTCTAGATAAGAATTGAAAACTATTCAACAAGTGAAATAGCTCATAGACACCTAAAATTCAAAAGCACATAATCAACGAATTAAAAAGTATTCTTCGTGCTTAAAGAATGAGAGTAAAAACCTGATTGATGAACACAATGTAGCCTAGAAAGAAGTAGCCTACTAGAAATGGAAGAAGCAATGGCGAGACGACCGCATATACCATGCCAATCAAAATACAAAGAGAAACGAAAGGAATTGTTCTGTAATAAGGTAAGTTATAAAGGTAAGGCATTTTCTTCTTTCCACGATCCCATGTGTGTGACTTCATCATATCCAATATAAGGAGCCCAGGTTGAAGAAGCTCCAGAGAAAATCCAGACAGCCCATTTGTCAAGATATATGTCATAAAAAAGTCTGCCTGGAAGAAAATGAAGAAAGTCAAGGAAGCATTAAGGTATCATATCCTTATTCCTGGGAAGAATATTATACAACCAGACCACCATAGCCTATTCCCTCCAAAGAAAAACGTAAGGCAACTTAGAAATTATGGTGATCGTTTCATGTACCCTTCATGTTTATGCTATTTTTGAATTTGACCAACCACAGAGTAAAAACATGATCATAATAGATTGAAAGTCTAAAACAATGATAACGATGCTTACTTGAGCAGAAACAGCAGTGGCAAGACGACTAGGAAAATCCTTGGGATGAAAGAATGATTGCCCAATTTGGTCAAGTAAGGATCCTGATAACAGACTCAAGAAGAAAACATTTCCAACAAGGAAATAGAAGACCAAATTGCAAGCTTTCATATCTTTTCTACTCCTTGAGACGTACCCTGCTATTTTTGCCATTTCTATCATGGCAAAAGGGACAATGTATACAAAACTATTGAGGATCACACTTGGAAGATATCCTGTCACAATAGACCTTAATCCTGGTCTGCAGAAAGGGAAAACGGTCAGAAGAAAGACATTTAGGTTGTGTTTCGCATATTGGACTATACCGTATAAGGAATTTAGTATAAAATTATTAACCACCAACCTCCGCATTATGTTATACGGTTGATAGTTTAAATGACTATCTTCCGAATGATTGTCCACCTTAATCCACCATAATAAATTCTACCTAGTACTATTCATTATATTCCTTATATGAATTAATCTGGTGTGCCAAACGTTGCCTTAAAGATTTAGAATTAGACTGAGAAATTTCAATTATTGGATTTGCATGGAAAAGAAAAATACCAAAACAGAAGCAAAAATGTAAAATGAAACTCACAAATAGTAAATGTTTAGGGTATGAAGCATTAGAGAATTATGATCAGGGATTTCCATCTAATAAAATTAAAGATATCTGTGATACAATGAATATCTTCTATTCTTCGGGCATTTCTCCCCTTCTCCCAAAATTATGTGCTACTTGCCGACTTCCTTAGAGACAGGTCCTGCATGGTATTCTCTACCAATGTATACTTGACAAGAGGTAATAATGACTAAGCAAAATCTGAACCAACTTCGTAATGGCTGCAACCTTACTGTGTGTCCAAGGACATAAAAGCAGAATGACAGAAAAGGAAAAAAAATTAAGTTACTGTAAAAATAGAGAAAGATAGAATTCAGTGTGATGGGAAACAGAACATAGAACTAAAAAATTCAAATATTCGGTAGTAATTTCTTCTAATCAGTTTCATCCCAAACCAATCCTCACCCTACACGCGAGAAAAGAGAATTTCTGCTGTATTAATGTTATATGTCTTCCAGTTTGCCAAGAAATTTATCATCGGCTAATGCCATCCACAGTTCAATTATCAATACTACTGAGAAAATATGGGTTAAACCTATATATTAAAGCTTAAATACAATGGAGTGAGGGATCTTTTTAATATAGGGTATGGAGAACATTCAAGTCTTACATCAACTGGACAGCCATGGCAGGAGGAAACCATTTCTTCAGTAGTTCAAATTTTGCAATTCCTTGGACAGCGGTGACTGGGATCATGAAGAAGATTGTAAGAAGTGATGCAGCAACATAGACTACAACTTTATAAAGAGGCAAGTGCCTATACGGAATTGCCAAATTTTTCCATAGTACATCCCTTGGTTCTGGAGCCATTTCAGTTGTCCATAGAAGTGGATTCGAGTGCTGCTGAGATTGGGCAGCTAAAGCAGCACCCCAACGTGAATTGAATGTAACAAAAGCAACAGGTAACTCCTACAAAGATGGAAATGTGAGACCCAAATTACAACCAGCTCAATCAGATGATGAATGGGCAAATGCTCAATGAGATATGGCAAATCATATACGAATTCGTTTTTTAAACCCCGACTATTTATATTTATGACATTGCCATTACAAGTCCTATAACTCGTTTGGATTAATTTGCACGAAGCCTAGTCAAAAGCTCAATTTCTTAAAACATATCTCGACCTTGGTACTTTTTTCTATGGTAGACTCATTGATCCTCTTTTTCCTTCATATTTTATCAAGTGGACATCCATAATCAATTTAGAAATTGCTCAATTAAATAATACCTCAGCCCGAGTAATATTGGGTCAACCCCGTCCTCTAAGTTACAATTGATAATAGTCCAATCACTCTTTCCTCACCAGTGAGCAGTGTACAAACCATCTCAATCAGTTCGATTGCTTCCTATAGCACTATCTTTAAAAAATCACAAGTATGTTCATTCTGAAAGAATATACTGCCCGAAAAATAAAGACATCTTAAATCATTCTTGTTAAACAAAGACTTAAACCATTCAAACAACCATTTTCCATGAAAACTCTATTTGACTCGTGGTTCTGTTTCAGCAGACCATTTACTACAGTGTACATGACCATAGTACTCCCAGATGGAAATACAACTTCTCTATTTATCTAAGCTAACAAATTAGATCTCTACATAGTACTAAAAGTTTTGGACTTTTTTTATTTTTTAAAAGTATAAGGTAGGTGTGTTGGAATTAATTGATTTATTTGGATCATTAAATATATTGTTTAATGATATTTATTTGGGTCATTAAATATGTTATGTAATGATGTGGGCCGTTGTAATTAATTTGGGTGA